TTTTTTTTTTTTTTAATCTTTTACTCTTCTTTTTTCCTTGTATCACAGAAAGATGATCGTGGCTTTTGTATAAGATCCAAGCCAAACCCATATCTCTCCCAATTTTAGGCATACTCAATTATTGACGTCCCCATGAAAAATTATGATCCTTTTATTACATTTGTTATGACACCGGTTATGGGTCCATATATATGACTCCATGGGTTCTTCCAAAAGAATAATATAGGGTTGTCAAGCGATGTTCCATATTGCACGTATATGAGACCAATGAGTAAATAATAACAAGTTAGTGCATCTTTAACATATTAACCGCATTTTTGAGCTAGAAGTTCTAAAAGTGTGAGATTTAGAGAATCGGGGCACGAGATTGTCCCCTCACACAGATGAAATGCACCATAAGAGGGTAAATTTAGGTGCACCATAGTGATGTTCCATCTCAAACCAATTGGTGATGTGAGGAGTAGCCCACTAGGTATATAAGTTAGGTCCAATTTCCCTATAGAATCAATACGAGACAACTTAGAAGTGATACTCCAACAAAAAGACAAGACCATAATAAGAGCTTGTACTGGGATATTGAGAATAAGCAACTTATTTGCAAAATGTTATCAGCATAACGTGCGTCTCACATAGCTTGCAAATGTGACAATTGAACTGTTAACAAGTTATACTCTATTGTTACTTTTAACATTACAAAAAAATCATTCGTATCATCAACTTTTAAAGGTGTGTTGATAATTTAGTCTCTGATTTATCTTATCATGAGCTCTTTCATGATGAGATAGATGATTGACAATGTTGAGTTCACTTTCTAATATTTAATATCATGTTAAACACAATTACTCATCAATCTACTTTATAGTTAGTTTAATTTTTTATTGTTCTTGTATCAATGAATTAATTTACTTGGCCCACATATACAAATAACTTCTTATAAAATTGATTCATTAGAGATACTAGTTTGATTCAATATTTAGTCTTATTTATGTGTGGATTAATATTATAATCATTAATTGACTTGTGTTAAAAAAAAAAGTTGTTTTTCAAAGTTATAACATTGGAAATGTTCTTCTAAGTTCCAATAAAGCTTGCATCACTATTGGAAAAAAAAAAAGTGATGCTGAAATTATCAAATTCAACTAAAATTCGAAAGAACTTTAATTTTAACTGCACTTTTTGATGATGACCTACATTTGAATATCGAAAGTTATGACATTGGAATATCCATGAAAATTTTTGTAGAAATGTTTTTATTGGATATTTTTCGATAGAATTTGACATTTTTTTCTTTTATTAAAAGTATGACAATAATTATAATATTTGTATGTGATTTCGTTAAAAAATATTATTTGATCCGATAATTGTTAAATTATATCACAATACATACTTGTATTTTATTCAACTTAATTATGAAGTAAAATAAAAGTCTATCCTTGTATTTGTAGAATTCTTTTACTCGTGCAAATCGATTACTGTTTAATATGTCATCAAACACGTGTTCAAATGGACTATATTTAACGTGTCCTCGAGCTCTTATTACACTTTTCCTAACTAACTACATTTAAAATTACCTAACCCTTTATTTTGGACTACAAAATTTAGTTGCACAGTTATAATTCATAGTATCTATCACTATAAACCTCTGATCCACTTCATCCGTAATTATAAGTCAAAGTCTATTTATTGTTGCATGGAAGGCTACAAACAAGTATAGTTGAATAAACATTATACTATATTTATTATAAAATATATAATATATATTACGTGTGTGACCAAATTACTCTGTAAAATACTACTGTCCAACAATTTTTGAAATTAATGAAGTATTTATAGCTAACCATTTAGAGATTCAAAATATATAGTCCGTAGATAATTGTGAAACTTACTTTAACTTGTCACGCCTAAATCATTCTTAGTTATTTTACATACTATATTATCGAAAATATATGTGCATGAAAACATGGTTAATTTCTACTACAATAGCACAGTCATAGGGATTTTGGTTAGATTAATACACACATGTGTGTTGATCTTACGGTAAAAACTCAATAACAACATTCATTATATTTTTTAGTTATTATATCAATCAACTATCCAAATTCTCGCAACACATGATCCAATTAGTTTATTGGTAAATCAATTTGGCAAAGTATATTAACTCAAATATATATAGATCAACTTATATTATACATTACAGTTTATAAATAATTTGATAATTTTGATCATTTTTATAAATATATATTGAATAAATTAAGTGAAATAAGCATTATTTTTATAATAAAACATCACTAAAAATCATAATTTTCACCGTACCGAGTTGACTAAACAATTTCACGGTATAGTTAGTTGTTGGATTCTCGCATCCTGCTCGCCGAGAGCTGTCATGTACATTAGGTTTTAAAGCTCCTGTAAGTTGCAGCAAATGCAAAATGCAAAATGCAAAAAAAAAAAAAAAAAAAA